ATAACTTTACTTTAAAACTAACCCCTAACCCTAACCCCTATCCCTAAAAAATGCACCCCAAAAAATTTTATTTTTCGAGATTTTATATTATAATTTCATTTTGATCTGGATTTCATTATGATCCGCCACAATAATTGTATAACATTTATAACCCGATCGTATCATTATATAACGGTCTTTGCAACATTCGTTTGTGGTGTTTATTCTATACCATTTAGCCTGTCATATGGGGTCTTTACCTTGAAAATCAAATATATGGGGCCTTTGCTAGGAAAATCGAGTTTTGGGACCCCTTTAATCAAAAATAAGATTTTGATCGTATATTAATCTTTAGTATAGGGATAATACTTGACATAATTTTTAGGCAAGATTGTCTTAATACGAAAGTGATCTTTTTTGATTCCGGATTTTTTTAAATATAAGATCTAAAAATAGAATCAGATGTTCTATTGTCACGTGATATAGATTGTCAAAGTTCATTTTTATTGGTCATCTATTATCTCTTTTTTTTATCGTTTTAGGTCCCGACTTTCTGCTAGGCGTTAGCGTTAGTTGTTATCACATACTATTACTGTTTTGAGTTTTGTGATCTTCACTTCTTGTTTTATCACTATCTCAGGTTTTCTGTCACTGTCTTAGGCTCCTTCTGGTCCTTAATTTTTGCTTCACACTGATTGATTCTTGCCGCTTTGGTTCCTAATCTTTAGATTTTCTCTTTCTGCTTTGAGTTCTTGATTTCTAAATCAGGTTCTTTGATCTTTCAGGTCTTCAGGAAGTTTCTTGATCTCTACTTCAGGTTCTATTACTACCCCGGGTTTTTGTTCTTTGCCCAGGTTTTTTGATGATCTTTACCTCAGGTTCCTCAATCTTCGCCTCAGGTTCCTCGATCTTTGCCTCAGGTTCTTGATTTTTGCTCTGAATTCTTTCATTGTTTCAGGTTCTTTGTTATTTTATTATTTTTGCTTCAAGTTTTTTATTGTTGCTTTGAGTTCCTTGATCTCTGCCTCAGGTTCTCTGTTACCACTTGAGTTTTTGATCACTAAATCAGGCTTTTTATTTTTATTTTTTATTTTTTTTAGATTTTCGATCTTTGCTTTGGATTTTTGGTCACTGGCTTGGGTTCCTGATCTCTGTTTCAAAATTTTTGTTTCGGGTTTTTTGTCACTTCCTCGGGCTTTTTTGATTTTTGTTTTAGAGTTTCTGTTGCTATCTCAGGTTTTATGAACTCTACCTCAAGCTTTCTGTCACTGCAGCAGGTTCTTTGATCTCTGCTTCAGGTTTTTCGCCGCTGTCCTGGGTTCTTTGATCTCTGCTTCAGGTTTTTCGCCGCTGTCCTGGGTTCTTTAATCTCTGCTTTAGGTTTTCTGTTGTTGCCTCAAGTTCGTTGATCTCTGCTTCAGGTTTTCTATTACTGTCTCGGGGTTTTGATCTCTACTTCAGGTTTTCTGTTACTATCTCGGGATTTTTATTGTTGCTTCGAGTTCTTTGACTGTTTTCTGGTGTTTGGATCCTTGATCTTACCCTGGTTTGTTGTTTTTGCTTTAGGTTTTTTATTATTCTATACTTTTTCTTTAATTACTAATTACCGTATCATACTTTTAATTATACTGTTTCAGGCCTTTAATTATATTACTGCATTTGGCCTTTAATTACTATATCATGCTCTTAATTACCGTATTGTGCTTTAAATCACTGTATTATTTTTTTTAATTGCTGTGTTCTACCTTTAATCACAATATAATGTCTTCATGTCTTTAACTACTGTATTGTGATTTCGATCACAATTTTTTTTTTATTCTGATACGTTTTAATAAATTATTTATTCAAAAAATTTATTAATTTTATTTAATAAAATAAATATGGGAAATTTATGTATAAGTGCCTGAAAAATGAAAATAATTACTTATAAGGGTCCAAAGCAGAAATTTATCGTAACTAATTAGATTGCGATATTTATAATTCTATAAATGCAATTTTCTTTTGACAGTTAAATGTATTACTTTTTATTCTCTTGACGTCTTATATGCGAAAATTATAATGCCTTTTGTCGATTTCCAAAGTAATTTAGCTTTATTAACGCGTAGTAACCTTCACAAAATATGATTCATATTTCATGTTTTATAACTAATTTTGGTGCAAAATAAACTTATTTTAGAACCAAAATATTGATCTTAACCCAGTCGAATTGTACCTTAGTTAAATTAGTTTATTAAGCGAAGGATATAGCATAAAATAGATAAAGTAGTACATTTAATACAGTAATAATGCTCAAAGAGCCACTATTGTTATAACGTATGGTTATTTTGATAAAATTTTTTAAAATTTGGGCCCGTAGACATAATTACTTTCGCTTTGAACCCTTATTTGTAATTATTTTCATTTTTCAGACCCTTATGTAAATCTCCCAATAAATATTATTTATTTTCATCTTTAATTTTTTCTGGATTTGTACAATATACATCTTTATACGGGTCATCTACATGTTGTCTAATTTTTGTATATAAATAGTATTTTCTTTCCTTTGTTAATAATTTAATAGGAATAGTTTTTAAGGTAGTGTTAATATCAAAGTTATACTCGCGCAATATTTGAAATGAAATTTCTGGCCCACCCGATTTAGTTGATGCATAAACTTTTCCGATATCTGTAGGTAAGCTACTAAATCTAAAATGGTAGTATTGTTTTATATTGGGAAAATTTTTAAAATGATCGTTAAATAATAAAGAAAAATCGTGCCAAGCCCAACCTAATCCATCGTTATATAAAATTGCTTTGTTTCCTTTTGAAGAATTATTAATAATTTGCTCAACATTGCTTATTACATTAACTTTATGATTTCTATACATCTTTTTAATTTGACCAAAAAAAGAGTCACAAATAAATTTCGTATGACCCGGGATCATAAAATTTACCGTGATTTCTTCATACCAACCTAACATTATTAACCAGGAATAAAAAAAAAGGGTTAAGTTATTTTTATTTTGCCCGCTACAATTATCGCAAGTAATATGCAATTTTTTTTTTCCTTCACGAGCAAATTTTTGAAGAAAATAATAAACCATATTAAGTGTAGTATTTGCTCCTTTAGAAGTATCTTCCGGAAATTCATTCTCTCCTATTACAAAGTTTAATTGAAAATTTTGACCGCCTTCTGTTTTACATACTCCAAATAAATGTACAGAAAATGGATTTTTAAAGTAAATTGCCCCTACTCGTTGCGGTGAATATGGAATTGATACACATTGTGCCCAATCGTAACAAACATGCGCAATTGATAAATCTTTTGCGCTCTTATTTATATTATCATTATAGTGTTGCCTTTCTCGATCCGCTGCAATGCAATGTTGATCATATTGAGTTTTAATTTTATTATATTCTTCTATATCCGATTTTGCTACTACTAATTTAGCTTTAAAAGTTTCACAAACTTCGCAAAGATCACTTGCAGGTGGTTGAAATTTAAGATGAGGAATCATTTCGTGCCAAAGCTTTCTAAATGTAAAATAAGAAATAATTTTTGTATTTTCACTATTTTCATTATTAAAATGTTTTTTAAACTCATTATAAACTGAAGTATATGTATTTCCTGTAGGCAAATAAATAAACGGTTCTGACTCATTTTTATGTCGCATAGGAGAAGGAAGTCCATTAATATTTCCGTATTGTTCTAAAAAACATTTAACTGGAAATGTAATGCTAGAATCAAGGAATACTTTACTTTTTAATTTAGGTACACGTCCAGTATTTCCGTGAGTTCTTTCAGTTAATCCTTTTTCTTGTAAATGTTTTTGAATTGCTAAAAGGAAATGATCACTTATTCCACAAAGTTTTAAAAATACTGGCTTACAAAGTAATAACGATGCATTATAGTTGTATCTATAATTTTGTCTTTGAAACTCTTTATTTTTATTAGTAATTTTGAAGGCTATTAATTGTGCTTTTAAAAATAGCTTAAGTTTCGGTTTTT